AGATGGATGTGTCATGTTTTATTTACCACCATTACACCACAGTACCACAATAAGAAAAATACTGTAAACTGTACGTTAATTGGATGTTTTATTGTGTTCAGGTGGTAGGCATTAATTGGGGATACATCCATGCTCATAAGCGGTGGCATAGTGGTATTATCACCAGATTAGTACTCCAGAGACTCAAATAATGTTCTGAGGACCTGGATACAAAGAACGCAATGGGAGCTGATGTAATTTGGAGGTCGGGGGTGGGGGGGGCATTGGAATCTTGTGGTACCGTGGTAATATCCCTACCTCTGTGCCAGGAGGCCTGTGTTCAAGATCCACCTGCTCCAAAGTTGTCTTATAATATCTCTGAATACGTTGATTTGAAAGTATCAACCCATACTCATACAGCCCTAGGCTATGCTAGTCTGAAAACACCCAAATTCAACCGATCCCAGAAGCTCAGCAGACTCAGAACTGGTTAGACTGGATGAGAGATTGCCTTGAAATGCGACTTGCAGTAGACTTGGGGTTGTTGTGACACAGCTGTAGTGACCCTAGCTCTGAACCAGGAGGCCCAGGTTCAAGCCTACCTGTTCCAGCGGCATGAAATAACATGCCTGAACTGGTTGATTAGAAGCTATCTAAAAGTTCTTATGCTCATACGTTTAGAAGTGGCAGAAATTGCGTTTGCTGTTTAGGTGTCCAGAATATGTCACGTGCATCACTTTAAAAAGACTTCTAAGCATTTAAAGACTTGGATCCAGTTCCATCCCATATCCCTGGCTATATGGGGCAGCACGGTGGCTCAGTGGTTAGCACTGCTGCCTCAAAGCACCACAGACCTGGGTTCAATTCCACCCTCAGGTGACTGTCTGCGTGGAGTTCGCACATTTTCCCTGCATCTGTGTGACTTTCCACTAGGTGTTCCTGTTTCCTACCACAGTCCAAAGATGTGCAAGTTAGCTGGATTGGCCATGCTAAACTACCCATAGTGTTCACAGATGTGTAGGTTAGGTGCATTAGCCATGGGAAATGCAGGGTTAGGGGGATGGGTCTGGGTGAGATGCTCTTCAGAGGGTTGGTGTGGACTTGCTGAGCCAAATTGCCTGTTTCCACACTGTGGGGATTCTATGAATTATGAAATACATTTTTCGCCCTCTGCCCTTTCTAAATAGGTCTTACCCTGCAATATTTAATTCCTTAATCCTTATTTTTTGATAGCCATGTCTTTGTAAACCCTACTATATCCTGATCCTCGCTATGTATTACTGCCCTCACTTGCCCTGTTTTATTACTGACACTGTTCATTGTGCATTGCTGTTCAAATTATTCAATTCATTATTAATAGCTGTTTGTCTTTCATTCTTAAGCATCTGTTTTACACTCCTGTTCTCAACTCGTCTTGTTTACTGGCCATCTATGCCTTTCCTTGATTTAGTCTGTATTATGCTCACAATTTCAGCTTTTTTTGTATGTTTAGTGGTATTTTAGTTCTTGCACATCCTTCCCTCAACATATTTGTTTAAAGGCTTTGTGATCTCCCTGATTATTCTTCCTGCTAGGACACAGGTCCCATTCTAGTTTTGGTGGAACTTGACCCATAAGAACAAAGTCTACTTGTCCTTGTAGTGGATGTCCCACACCAACCTTTTAGCCAAATGGTAATTCTCCTTATCTATTTTCTCCTGTCAAGTTAAATGGGGTTTAGAAAATAATCCATGAATTATTACTCCTTGGGTCAAGTGTTTCTAATTTAGCTTCTAAACTCTTAATACACAATTACCAGGACCTCTTGCATGATCCTTTTTTATGTTTACTCTCAAATGTAATACAATGACTAGATTCCCCTCTTCCCTTTCCAAATTATTCTCCAACGACCTGAACTATCCATTACCCTGACACGAGGTAGGTAACACATCCCCCTCCATCTTGTTTCCAGTCAAAGACAATATGGTATAACCCCTAAATTATGAAACCCCTATCAATACCACATTTCTAATCTGTTCTTGCCTGCTCTTGGAAAATCTTCTCCATAACAGAGCCTTGGTCTGATTTGTGACCTCCAATTTTTACTCATTCTCAGCGCTAGGGTATACTGTACCTGTTGGACAAGACCAACGTCTACAGGATCTAGCTTCTCAATCTCTCAGAAATCCCCATTATACTGATCAGAAATTCCTCCACTCCCTACTATTTCAGAGTATCTTTCACACCCTAGCTCAATGACTCTGAGCTGGAGTGATTCAAGGCAGAGGCATTGGCTGAAAATGTGGGAAAGCAGAAGTCTGACCATCTACAAACTCCCACATTTTACAGTCCAGACATACTGCCTACCTTGTCATTTCTCGTCCTATTTATTAATAGCCTGAATAAAAATTAAGTCAACCAATCTAAGAAAAACATAAATTTCTTACTGTTTACTCACCTAAAGCAAAGGTTTTTCTCCGCACCCTGTGGTTGTATGGAATCACATGGTTTAAGAAGTGTTTACATCAGCCAAGTTGAAATTACTGGAAACTCTCACACTTTTTGAAACCCAGTTAGCTATGTAGTTCTTCATCTTGGAATCTTACCTCATCTTAAACTATATTTATTCAGAATTATCCATTAATTTATTTTAAAGGCTTCTAGGTAAGTTTTGTTAGCACCAACATACATTTAGTGCTAAAACATGAACTAAATTCTAACCAATTACTTGCCTCAAGTTTACACAAATCATAAGTGTTAAATACGTAAAAGCACACCACTCTTCCCTTCTGTACCAAACTCCTACTAACACTAAATTTTAAGCATCTTACATTATGTGCTATTCAGGTAGCTAACATTATGATTGATTTTACTTTCTATATTACAAGGTAACAACGGATATTCAACATTCTTTCACAAATACACAAAATACTTGCAAAGTTCAGCTTAACAGTCAAAAACGGGAACAGCATGCTATGAATATTCTGTTGATTCTTGGTTTGGGTGGTGGTACTACTACTGCAAAACTACTGCAAAATACTTGTGGCTTAAGCAGACAATAAATTTATTTCATCTTTATGTTTTAACTGCTGTCAGCTGCAAAATAATTTGCAATGTGTTTTAAACAAAATATTGTGATTTGAAAATCGGAGATCTAATTCAGAGGTCTCAGTGACATGTTTAAGGACATCTTACTACCTGAAGTATGCTTTATGAATGCAAGTTGTCAGTATCACAGAAATCACGAAAACAAATTATATTTCAAACCTGTCATGTAAATCAAAACAAATGATGAGAGACAAGGTAATAATAAATATCCCTATTCAAGAGGCTGACAGTAATTCACTCTTAACTTTGTAGGACATGATTTATCCAGACATCCTTATCTTAATATTTATTGTATCTCTGTGTTGACCATTGGTCATATCATATCCTTCGCTTACAATACACAGTGCTATAACTTTACAGATTTTTGTTTCATCAGCTGTAAAACACACTGCAAACTTAGCACTATATCTCAGTGTTTATAGGAGAGTGATACAATTATCATTACAGTTATTTTGTTGGCAATCAGTTAAAAACTTCTACCATAATAGGCTGGAAGATTCCCTGTTTTATGGATAACTTTATAAGAAATGGTCAGCTTTAAAGCGGGAAGATCCTGATTGTTAAACTTCTTTGGAGATAAAGTGAATTTCTGCTTTAAGAAGTCTTATAGCAAAAGATGCATTTGTAATATCTACAATCAGACTAAAAGCCCCATGACACCTCACCGAGTGACAAGAGAAAGAAGAAATGACCTACTCGCTACTGGAACTCCTCCAGTGCAGATCTCGACCAGCATACCTTAGGCAGGCACCTGGTGGGGTGCAAAATCCACACTCACTCTCCCTGATAACTCTGAGGCAGGCAATCCAGTGAGTTATCTTGCTGAACGGGGCAATATGTTAGTCGCCATCTAAAATACTTGCTGCCACACTCAGATAAATTATCAGAAAATCCTAGTACATAAAACAATCACCTATTGTAAATGATTATTTGGTTCACTATTGCACTTTAGGTGGCAAAAACTTCCATTCTTACCTAGTCTGGCCTACGTGTGATTCCAGACCAAAGCAATGTGGTTTATTCTTAACCTGCCCTAAACATGCCACTTATTTCAAAGGCAATTAAGATGGGTAAAAAAATAGTGTCCTTGCAATTGGCGCCTACAGCCATAAAAGAATAATGAACACTTAATGGTGAATAGGGATGTGAGGAAATGCTGGCATCCCATGAAAGAATACTAAGAAAAACTATAGTATGGTGAGGTGGGTACGGTGAAGTGAATGGATAAGGACACTAAGGTCTTTAAACTAGTAAATGGAAAGTTGTGGGGGACAGGGGAGTATGTTGAAAGGCAGTATAAATATAAACTCTAAACACAGACATAAAAGAAGAAAATGGCATAATAGTCAAAATTGTTCATTCACTGGTAGACATGAAGGGCAAATTAAAACATTAGGGCAATTAAATCCAGAGAGAGAAACAAGAAATGTATGAGAATAACAATATTAAAGCAGAGGAAGTCATTAGAGCTATGTGGCCCAAATAAGCATTCTTTATACAAGTGCACAGAGTATAACGAACAAGCTGAATAGACAAATTAACTTAGAGGCTTGTCATTGTAGCTTGCAAAAAAATTAGTTTTATTAAGTGAATATATCAGAATATGAGATCAACAGAAAGTCATGGAAATTGGTGGAGATTGAGGAGTGGCTTTAAGGATTAAGGATGAAATTTATTCAACAATGATGGGATATAACAAGAGGTAAGAGGTGGTGGAGACATCTTAGATAGAATTTAAACATGGAAAAGGATATAAGACTTTAGTGGGCATGATGTATTGGTCCTTTGTTAACAGATGTCAAGTGGTAGAATGTATAAATGCAGAGTTCAGGCAAGCTTATAGAACATAGAACATTACAGCGCAGTACAGGCCCTTCGGCCCTCGATGTTGCACCGACCTTAGAGCTCTAATAGTGCAGTGGTAATGTCCTTACCTCTGAGCCAGAAGGCCTAGATTTAAGTCCCACTTGTTTGATTAAAACTTTCTATGGCAGCAGCAGAGTGGTTTAATTGGACACCTTCACTTCCAGGTAGATTTGGAGTAAACAAACATAGATCAACCATTATTGATGGCAACCAAACTAAACAATCAAACTAAAATATGATACTTCCTTATTAACTAACCAATGCAACTAAGAAATGTCTTATGAGACTGTTTCACAGTGTGCCATACTCCTAGCAAATATATAACATGAAGGGACAGTTCCATAGTCATTCCCACTCTCCAATGAAAACATTTCTTTCTCACCAAAATGGCAGGTAGAATTTTTTGACAATTGTCCCACTAGGTTTAAGCTTTCACAAATGTGGTTATCACCAGCAAGGCACACATCAGCAACTCCCTGTTCCTTAATTCCTTTTATCTTAAATGGAAATCAATCTTTTAAACAAATCATTTTTATGGTAATATCCAAAACAGAAGTATATACAATCCTGTGATTATGAAGCAGCTGGAGGCCAGTCAGCACCTCAGGCGTACTCTGTGATTCGATAAGACAATTGGTGACCTGACTGTGGCCTTAACTTTATATTCCTGCTTACCTTCCGCAACTCTTGACTCTCTTGACAATCAAGAATCTAATGAAGTTCTTGGGGAAGAAGAATTCCATAGATTAATGGCCTGAGGAAATAAATTCTCCTTACATCCATCTTAATTTGAGAGGCACCCTATTAATTGTGCCCCGTTGTTCTAGTTTGTCCACTAAAAGGAGAGATACCTTTCGATATCCACCTTGTCGAGTTCACTCAGGATTTTAGATATTTATATAAAATTATCTTTCATTCTCCTAAACCGCAGTGGATACAGGTCCAATCTGTCCAGCCTTTTCTCATAAGGTAACTCCTTCACTCTAGAAATCAGTCAATAAATCTTCTCCGAACTGCTTGTAATGCAATTATATCCTTTCTTAAGTAAGGAGACCAAAACTGTACCTAGTATTCCAGAAGATGTCCCATCAATGCCCCATGGAACAGTAGCAAAAATTCCTTTCTTTTGTATTCAAATCCTGTTGCAATTAACGACAACATTCCATTTCCTTCCTCATCACTTGCTGCAGTTAATATTAACTTTTGGTGATTCATGTATTGGAACACACAGATCTATGTACTGCAGGATTCTGTAATCTGTCTCCATTGTCTCCATTTAAATAGTGCACTGCTTTCCTATTCTTCCTGCCAAAGTGGACAAGTTCTACATTTTCCTACATTATATTCCATTGTCAACTTTTTGCCCACTGAGTTAATTTATATCCCTTTACAAACTCCTCATATCCTCATCATAACTTACTTTTCAACCTATCTTGATGTTACCAGCAAATTTAACAACCATAAATTCTGTCCCTTCAACCAAGTTCCTAACTGAGATTGTAAATAGGTTCTAGCATTTCTGGTATGTCAGATATTAGGTTAACTGACCTGTGCTTTCTTGGGTTTTTTTTTGTTTCCTGGCTTGTCCATGGCATTAGCTTTTCTGTTTATATCTCTCAAATGGCTGCTGTCCTTTCTTCTATGAGATACTGTAAAAGGTGCAACCAACCTCAGACGACTTCCACTTGAGTTTATCTACCCCATGACAACCAGATCACATGGACATTTCTCTTGCTGTTGTGAAATTAGGCATTCTATGTTTTACTTTAAATTGAATTTGAAAACATAACCATCTTGTAAAGTTCAGTGTTCATGACTCAGTGCAAATATTACAAAGGCAACCTTAACGCTTCTGAGCTATACTTTGCAGTCACAAAACAACGTGACATGAATCATGTACATACAGAGTGCCAGGAATATAGGACCAGAAGTAGGTTACTCAGACCCAATCAGACTACCATTAATCTGCTCCTCCTATTTCAGTTGCCCATCCATGTTCCAAACCTCTTAACACCCAATAAGGAACTGGCAAGTGAAAGAAACGAATTAGATTTTCAACAAGGTGTTAACTTTCTCAGTGATTTGGGATAGAGGGTATCTCAGATAAATTTTAGTATTCTGAAATATTGGGTAGTACTGCTTCCAATGAGCATGGTAACTGTTGCTCTGCCAGAAGAAGTAAGAAACTCCACGGTCTTATTAAAGCTGCAATAAAATAAATATCATCAGGTCTGTAAGAAATATTACAAAGTTGACACTGTTGTATCGTTGAATATCTATCTCATCATTTTGTTTATTTTCCTGCCCCATCTGCACTGACTGTTAATCTGAAAGTTCAAGGGTTCTACTTGCCAAAAGAAGACAACGGAAGATATAAAAAGCAACATAAATGAAAAGAGATAGCATAAGCATTGATAAAAGGAGAGATGGTGCTGAAGCTTTTCATCTTGCAATCATCAGGACTGGACTGCAAGAAAACTAACTTTCAAAAGGAAATAATAATTCATATGACACGAGGGGAGGGTGCTGATTATGTTCTTAGGTGTTAGCTAAACGCGTTGGTTATTCAGTTTCCTGTTTATGAATCACAAGCTGTAAAGTATTTCCAGATGTCTAACGGTTGTGAAAAGTGAAGAGTTTGTGCACAATTGTAAAATTGTACACAACTTCTGAGGAAGGGTCACCGGACACTTTTTAATTCTGATTTTTTTCTTCACAGATGCTGCCAGACTTGCTGAGCTTTTCCAGCAACTTCTGTTTTTGTTCCTGATTTACAGAATCCACAGTTCTTTCGGGGGTTTTTATTGAAGAGTTTGTGAGCCTGACACCATAGAGCGGACAAACAGCAGCAGCTAAGATGCAGGTGAACGGGGTTTGGGGATTCAGCGGGATGGATGCCGACTGCGATCACAGTCCGCCTGGGACTGAGGGAAAGGGCGAAACACAAACCCGATCTCTCCCACCCTCCAGCACACGGCGACAGCGCTCACCCTTACTCACCGGCACGGTCCACTTGGCAACGGGATCGGGGTGCTCCTCTCTACAGCACCATCGTCTCCATGGTGAGGGTACACCCGGCAGTGAGAGAGGAGGTGGGGCCAGGAAACGTCAGTGGGAGGGGCGGGGTCAGCATAGAGGGCGGGGCCACAGCGGGTGACGGGCTGGGACAGGAGAGGAGGTGCGGCGGGAGCGTGTCGAGTGGCGCCGGTGGACGGCGAGGGGGGCGTGTCTGTGGATGGGGTCTATTGCCGAATGGGGCGGGACGAGAGGGGCATGTGGGCGCGACCGTCACTGAACGGGGCGGTGAGGGGACGTGGCTTAACCGGGGCCGGGGGCGTGTCCTGGCTGGTGTATGTAATGCTGGTTTGAATAGCGTTCGGGTGCCATGCCTCTGCCATACTGTTTACTGTAGCATATTACAGCCAAGTGTTAGCTCTTTATACTGTGGGACAACCTTCTTCATGCTCAGAGCTCAATCTGCTATTCATTGGTTCCCACTTTCAGCGCACATGGTTCATCCTGTCTTTCAGGGAGACAATCTGCTGTCCTGACCTGATCTGGCAAACATCTAACTCCAGACCATAAACCAGTGCTTTCACTTCTGTGTGACAGTATGAATTTCTGTGATATGAGGATAGAGTTAACATGACGAAGATGGCATAGGCACTATCAGTGCAAATATTTACTTTTTGATTAGAAGCTTCTCTGATGGCTGTATACTTGGAAGATTTTTCTCGTATTTATTATCTTTTAAAAATTCTCCCAGAAATATTACTGGATGGCCTGCTTGTGGTGATGGTAGGAGGAGCCACCAACAAACACAGAGTCACAGAGATGTACAGCACAGAAACAGACCCTTCGATCCAACTCATCTTTGCCGACCAGATATCTTACATAAATCTAGTCCCATTTGACAGTATTTGGTCCATATCCTTCTAACTCTTCCAATTCATATACCCATCCTTTTAAACGTTTTAATTGTACCAATCTCCACCACTTCCTCTGGCAGCTCATTCCATACAGGCACCACCCTCTGCGTGAAAATATTGCCCCTTAAGTCCCTTTAATATTTTTCCCCTGTCACCTTAAACCTATGCCTTCTAGTTTTGAACTCCCCCACCGCAGGAAAAAACTTTTCCTTTTTACCTTAATCATGCCCCTCATGATCTTATACATCTGGAGCATCCTTGATCATTTCCTTCATTATTCAGAATCAACTGGGGAAATGGGATACCTGTGAAGACTTGGATCAGAGGTCATTGAATGAGACATTAAGAATGCAATACCTTTAGTCTAAAATGAAGGGACACAACAAAAAAGGTATCTGCAGGCCAATTATGTTATCATTTGTTATTGGAAAAATATTTAAGTCTGTTATAAAGGTTGTAATAGCAGAACATTTAAAAATGCATAATATAACCAAGCCGAGTCAACATGATCTAATGAAGGGAAATTGTGCCTGAAAAATTTATTACAGTTCTTCGAGGAAACAGAAACATAGAAAGTAGGAGCAGGAATGGGCCATTCAGCCTGCTCCAACATGCATTATGATCATAACTGATCATCCAACTCAACAACCTGTTCTAATTTACCCCCACATCCTTTGATCCCTCTAGCCCCAAGTGCTATATCCAATTTCTTCTTGAAATCGTACAATGTTTTGGTCTCATACTTTCTGTGGTAGCAAATACCATGGGCTCACACCCTCTGCGTGAAGACATTTCTCCTTATCTCAGTCCCAGTATCCTTAGGCTGTGGATCCTGGTTTTGGACTACCCCACCATTGTGACAACCTTCCTCCATCTACCCCGTCCAGTCCTATTAGAATCTTATTGGTTTCTATGAGATTGTCACTTGTTCTTCTGAGCTCGAGAAATATAATCCTAACCAATTCAAGCTCTCCTCATACATCAGTCCTGCCATCCAGTAACCAGTCCTGTAAACCTTCGCTGCACTCCCTCTATAGCAAGAAGAATACTCCAGGTGTGGTCTTACAGTGGCCTTGTATAATTACAGCATGATATCCCTGCTTCTGTACTTGAATCCTGCCGCTATGAAGGCCAACATACAATTTGAGTTCTTCAGTCCTTGCTGCAACTGCATGCTTACTTTCTGTAGAGTCATAGATTGATAGAGATATACAGCATGGAAAAAGACCCTTCAGTCCAATTCATCGATGCCAACCAGATATCCTAAAATAAACTAGTTCAATTTGCCAGCAATTGGCCCATATCCATCTAAACCCTTTCTATTCATTTACCCATCTAGATGCCTTTTAAACGTAGTAATCGTACTAGCCGCAACCACAGTCATATAGCACGGAAACAGACCCTTCAATCCAACCAATCCATGCCAACCATAATCCCAAGTAAACTTGTCCCATCTGCCTGTGCTTGGCTCGTGTGCCTCCAAACATTTCTTATTCATGTACATATCTAAATGTCTTTTAAATGTTGTAACTGCACCAACATCCACCACTTCATCTGAAAGTTCATTCCAAACAAGAACAACTTCATAGAACTCCTACAGTGTGGAAATAGGCTATTCAGCCCACTGAGTCAACACTGACCCTCCAAACTACGTCCCCACTCAGACCCACCTGCCTACCCCATCCCTGTAATTCTGCATTTCCCACAGCTAACCCACCTAGCCTGCATATTGCTGGATACTACAGGGCGATTTAGCACAGTCAATTCATCTAACCTGCACATCTTTGGACTGTGGGAGGAAAATGGAGCGCCCGGAGGAAACCCACGCAGACATGGGGAAAACATGCAAACTCCAAACAGACAGTCGCCCAAAAGTGGAATCAGACCCGGGTCCCTGGTGCCGTGAAGCAGCAGTACTTACTATTGTGCCACCATGCCACCTCTCTGTGTAAAAAAAAATGCCCCTCAGATCTTTTTTAAATCTTTCTCTTCTCACCTTAAAAATATGCTATATAATCTTGAAATACCCCATTCTAGGGAAAAGAGACATACCATTCACCTTATCTATGCCCCTGTTGGTTTTATAAACTTCTATACAGTCACCCCTCAACCTGCTAGATTCCAGTGAAAAAAAGTCACAGCCTATCCAGCCTCTCCTTATACCTCAAAACCTTCATTCCTGACAACATCCTGGTAAATCCTTTCTGAACCCTCTCCAGCTTAACAATATCCTTTTTATATCAGGGTGACCAGAACTGGACACAGTACTCCAGAAGAGGCCTCACCAACATCCTGTACAATCTCAACATAATGTCCCAACTCCTATACTCAAAGGTCTGAGCAATGAAGGCAAGTGTGCTAAACACCTTCTTAATCACCCTATCTATATGTAATACAATCTTCAAAGAATTATGTACCTGAACCCCTAGGTCTCTTTGTTCTACAACATTTCCCAAGGTCCTTACTTTTAACTGTATAAGTCCTGCCCTTATTTGTTTTACTGAAATGCAATATCTCACGTTTATCCAAATTAAACTCCATCTGCCACTCTTTAGCCCAACGACCCATCTGATCAAGGCCTTTTGTAATCTTAGATAAACTTCTTCATTGCCACTATACCACCAATTTTGGTGTCATCCGCAAACTTACTAAAAATGCCTTCTCTATTCTCATCTAAATCATTTATATAAATGACAAACAAAAGTGGACCCAGCACTGATCCCTGTGGAACACTGCAGGTCACAGGCCTCCAGTCTGGAAAAACAACTCTTAACAATCATCCTCTGTCTTCTACCATCAAGCCAATTTTGTATCCAATTAGCAAGCTCACCCTGAATCCCATGTGATCTAACTTTACTAATTAGTCTAACATGTGGAACCCTATTAAAGGCTTTACTAAAGTCCTAGTAGACAATGTCTATCGCTCTGCCCTCATCAATCTTCTTGGTTACTTCCTCAAAAAACAATCAAGTTTGTGAGACACAATTTCTCTCACACAAAACCATGCTGAACTATCCCTAATCATTCCTTGCCTCTCCAATTGCATACAAATCCTATCTTTCAAAATCACTTCCAAAAAATTACCCAAGACTATGTCAAATTCACTGTTGTATAGTTCCCAGACTTCTCCTAACATCCCTTTTTAAGCAAAGGCACAACATTTGCCCCTCTCTAGTCATTCATCACCTCACCCATATTTACAGATGATACAAGTATTTCTGCAATAGCCCCCACAATTTCGACCCTAACTTCCCACAATGTAGCTGGGGCACAAGAACACCCAGGTTTCATTATACGTTCCCCTCGGTCAATTTATAGCCATTCAGATAATAATCTGCCTTCCTGTTTTTCCTACAAAAGCAAATAACCTCACATTAATGCACATTACATTTTATTTGCTATTCATTTGTCCACACACTCAGCTTATCCAAATCACACTGAAGCATGTCCCTCACAGCTCACTCTCCCACCTAGCTTTCTGTCATTTGCAAATTTGGAGATATTACATTAATATATTTGTGAATAGCCAGGGTCCTAGCACTGATCCCTGCAGTACCCCACTGGTCACTGCCTACCACTTGTAAAATGTCATTTTCCATCCATCACAACACAATACCTCTAATGGCACGTGATTTAATTTTACATGCTAATCTCTTATGTGAGACTTTGTCAAAAACCTCTGAAAGTCAAATAAACCACATCCACCACCACACCCCCTCATCAACTCTACAAGTTACATCCTCAAACACTTGCAGTAGATTTGTCAATCATGATTTCCCTTTCATAAATCCATGCTGACTCTATCCAAGCCTGTCTTTGTTTTCCTCGTGGTCTGCTATTAAATGTTTTATAATGAACTCTAGCAATAACTCTATTACCAATATAATGGCTGGTCTATAATCCCTAGTTTTCTCTCAACATCCCATTTTAAATAGTGGGTTTGCATTAACTATCCTTAAATCTATAGGAACTGTTCCAGTGCCTAAAGAATCTTGGAAGATGACTGCCAATGCATCCATTATTTCTAGGGCCACTTCCTTAAGTACTCTGGGATATAGATGATCAGGGTCTGAGGATTTGACAGCCTTTGATCCATCAATTTCCCTGACACTAGTTCCCTATTCACACTTTTCTCCTTCAGTTCCTCCATCTCA